CACCAGAGGTTTTTATAGAAAATGAAAAAACATGTTTTCTAGTCAGTTAGAAGCAAAAAATAGACCCTCTAAACTTGGACATGTGAGATGCAATTTGATTCCAAGAAGAACTAACCTCAATTATAAAATTTTAATGTAAACATAAGAATTAATAAACTAATCTCAATTATGCTGGATGTTCGACCTGCCACACCAATCTAATAAACTAATCTCAATTATGCTGAATACTCAACGTGTCACACCAATCTCTTAGAAAACTACTTGACATTAAATTAAGAAAAATTAAGTGCCACATAAAATTTAAATCTAAACATAAGAATTAATAAATTAACCTCAATTATGCTAAATACTCGACCTGTCACGTCAATTTCTTAGAAAGTTGTTTAACATTAAATTAAGAAAAATTAAGTGCGACACATCTTCATTAAAGCATAAAGAGACAAAGGGGGAGGGAGAGAGTTAAACTTTCAATCTCATTAATCGAACGAGAGAGAGGGGAAGGGAGGGGGAGGGAGGGAGAGATGACTACTATAACAGTAAAAAAAAAAAGACAGTTTTCAATTAGTTGATTAGTTTAGTAATTCTTTTATTAGTAGAATTCTAGAATTCGTTTAATGGCAGTAGCTTAGTCAAAATAGCACTTAATGTTAAAAATTGGTTTTCTATTACAAGTAGGATTGTTAGATGGTCTCTTCTAGCGGCTACGGGCATTCTATCATGTGTAAAATGGACAACTTCTTGTACAATGACTAGTCAAATAACATTGGGGAAAAAACAAAGATGACTAATCAAATAACAGAGAAAATAAAAAAAGGCTTACAGAATGGAAAAGAAAGAATGTTATGGTATGTCATAGAGATAAAATTTATCAACTAAATCATAGTGATAAATTTTATCTCCTAAGTCATAGAGATAAAGTTTATTTAGCTGTATTTATCACCTACAAATTACCAATACGTAGTATTAGAATTTTAGTTGAGTTTGCCAAATTGAAAGAAAAATAAAGAATGTTATGACAAGTCATAGAGATCAAATTTATCTACCAAGTCATAAAAATAAAGTTTATCTGCCAAGCCATAAAGTTTATCTAGCTAATATTTTGGAAGTAAAATAAATATGAAAGACAGAAAAATATCTGGTTATAATTGACTTTATAGTAATAATTACAGTAAAATAAGAAATCAAAAATTTTTCATAGATACAATATTTATAAGTAGTATAGATTATAGATATCAATAATTATGAAAAAATTATGAGAGTTGCATGATAATGTTGGAAATCGAGAAGTATGAGAGAGGGAGGCTGAAGACCTCTCTGATAGAGTAAATATGAGATTATATGGGACATAGACTATGAACAAGGAAATTAATCATAGGAATTGACAAATACAAAAGTTTTAGTAGTTCACTAACGAAAAGGTTTGATTAATCCATTCTAATGAAATCTCTTGCCCCTAAAATTTGTATTGCTTGATAAGGAAGAAGATGGTTACATCTTTTTTGCGTGTAATTGCTCATCCAGGGGTGACCTAAACATTTTGAGGCCTAAAGTAGAAATAATAAAAGAGATTTTTTTTAATATTAATAAAAAATTTATTTAATTTTTTAGAAATACAAAAATATTAATTAAGTTTTTATATTCAAATTTTTTTTATTATAGTTGAACTTGATGGTAAGAGAGAGAAGGGGAAGAATGATTGAAAAATTATGATCATAAATTTGAATTTGGGGTTAAGAGTTCATTTATTCTATCTTTAGATTTACAATTAGTTTTTTACTCTTTATATACAAAAACTTGAATTTTAGGAAATTTTAATTTCATGGGTTGAATTAATAGTCTCAATTCACTCAAATTGAAACATATTCCAAAGGTTTTAAATTTTTTGTTTGAGCTATTACTATACACTTAAAAATTATGGGCCTTCCTTAATCTGGGAAGCGTAGACTTTATTGACTTAGTGGTTGAGTCGGTCTAGTGCTCATCCCCGTATTACAAGGCCAGGGTTTGCCTATTTATACCATTATTTAATAGAGTGATCCTTAAACAATGATAGGGTGGTCCGAGTAAATATTGAACCCAATGGTGATATCATGTCATCATTGATGATATGATATCACCAACTAATAATAAAACTCCAATTGAGTAAAGTGAACCCCACATAGACTTACATGGAGGAATAGTGGAGAGTTGTTTGTTTATATCATAAGTTGGTTATTATTTTTTGTGATATCTATTTGCTTATTTATTTTAATACTATTGGTAGGTGATACCACATCATATTATCATATGGTATTACCATTGCAATGAATTTTTTCTCGAGCAATCCCTAGTTAGTTAGGATGCAAGAGAAAATATTTGGCCATTAAAAACTACATTCTCTCACGCATGACATGGTATTCTAGAAGCAAGTGACGTGATGTTGGTGACCTTATCCTTCAATAGGATTTATCACTGGGTCTTACTCTTCGTCCCTCTTTCTCTGGTGGCACGAATTATTTTAGATTAATCGAGCTCATTTGGATTTATTCTTGGTATCATCAAGAGTAAATTAATGTACTATGTGGAAATTAATTTCATTTTTCTACCTAATAAGTTGAACATGACGATTAAGATTAAGAGACAATTCTACTAAGTCAATAGTCAATTAACAATATTGTCTGTGCACGTATTATGGTTACAATATTTCTGGAAAAAAGATACTCCTAAAGATGTGTGTGGCCAATGGTTATGTTGAAACTTTGAACAAAATAACGGACAAATGCGAATCATCCCCTAACGGATATATAAAACGTGGCCTAAGGAGGAGAAGTGTAGGCATTTATTAGGTTGTTTGACTTGCTGGTTCAAAGTTTGTGGGACCATAAATAATCGGTAAAGTGATTTAATTATCTAATAATAATTCATTAAATCGAAAAAATAGACTCCCCTTATTTAAATAACTATCCCTTCGTATAATTCAAATAACAGTAATGTTACACTAACTAAATTTAATAGAGTGATCAAATTAAAAGCTCAAATGACATGACAGTTGACTTGGACACCTTTATTTGATGTCATGTCATTTGGACCCCCCAATAAAGACTTCAAATAAAATACTGACATGTCGTTTGAGCTCTTAATTTGATCATAAAATTTGATCAACATAGTATTACTCTTGAGATAATAACCACTCAAAGTTAAAAAAAATGAAGTAATCTTGTTCACTTGTATAATTGTATATTTAACATTGAACAATGTTATTAAATTAATGATTTTGGTTATTAGATTATTAGTGGGTACCCAGTATTGAATACACTCCACTAATAATTCAATGATCATAATGTATAAAATTCTCAAATTATGTCCCNATTTTGGTTATTAGATTATTAGTGGGTACTCAGTATTGAATACACTCCACTAATAATTCAATGATCATAATGTATAAAGTTCTCAAATTATGTCCCAGTAACATTATTGTTTAACATTGTACCATTATACTACTTAACTGTTACAACCAATATTTACTCCATTCCAAGGTATATCACATATATCCCTCCTATTTATTGTTTAGTCTTTAGTTTTTATTTTTTTAACGTGGATGGGTGTTTGTATCTGTTTATGTGCACAGAGATTAATTAATTTATATTTTTTTTGAGTCTGTTTAAAAATAAACCATCTACTACATTAAAATTAAAATATTTATAAAAAATAAAACCCTTACTTGGTTTGGGCTGATGTGAATTTATGATATGAGGTGTAATGGTTGGTAAAGGTCACTTTGAAGTCCCAAGGAGCGATTGAACACACTCTCTCTCTTTTTCTCTCTCTAACTACTTTGTCTTTGTCTCTTTTATTGAAAAAGCAAATTCTTTTGGAGCTAATGGTATATGATGTGTGCATGTCCTGTGTCATCAATTTTCTCAATCAAAAAATTTAAACCCTTTTTTCTTAAAAAAATTAATCTTTTTTTAATCTCGAAAAAAAAAAAAAACCAAAACTTTAGGTGAGTCCAACGTTTTTTCTTCCTCTCTAACCCCCAAACTTCCTCCCTCTCTCAGTTGAATTTTTGATTGGGAAAGTTGATGAGGTAATGTGTACACATCATATGTCATGTCATCAAATCAAAATTTTATGTTAAAAAGATTATATCACAATTACATTATTCTTTTGGAAAAATTTTTGTAAGTTTAAATGACACTATCACGTGGTATACACATCTAATGAGATATTGCCACAGACGCACGGACGTACAAGTTGATTTTTAAAAAAAAAAATATGATAAGGTAATAAATTATAGCTATTTATTGAATACATCTAATTTTTTTAGATTAATGTTATTTGGATTTAAAAAATTTATTTTAACTGTTGATTTAATGATATGACTTGAATGGAACTATTAAATTAATACCAAATTTTAATATTTGATAAAATTTACTATTAATGTAAAACTATAATAAATTATATCAAAAAATTAGATGAAGTAATACTATTTAGATTTAAAAATTTGATTTTATTTGTTTAACATAATGATGTGGCTTCAGTAGAGCTATTGGATCCACACCAAATTCCAATGGTTGACGAGCCCTACAGTTAATCTAAAAAATTATAATAAATTAGGTCAACAAATTAAATCAATAAATTAGATTAGATTGCTCAATTAGATGTTGCCAGCAACATTGCGGTGCCGCCATGTGGTAAACATGAAAAATACTATTTAGATCTAAAAATTGGATATAATTTGTTGATCTAATAACGTGATTTTATTAGAATTATTGAATTCACATCAAATTTTAATATTTGATGAAATTCACAAATCAATTCAAATATCGTAATGAACTAGATCAATAAATTAATTTAATAAATTAAGTCCCCTTGGCATTGCTCGGTGAACATTATCTTCTCTCCCAACGTACTTTGTTTTTGTCTCTTTGTTAGCTTGCTTTCTGTATTTGCTTCAAAACCACATAAGCTTGTTCGGGAAAAGACATCTTTTTCTCTCTCGTGAACTCTTAATTCAGTGGATGTCGCATTTGATTTATATTCCAACTGGCAATTGTCCATCGGAACATTCCATGATACCAAACCCATTCACATCGTTTTATTCTTCCAAAAGAGCAGAGACACCACCATCAATGGCTGAACCACCGAGTTCAGAAGCTGAATGCAGTACTAATACCACTACCAACTCCTCATCACTCTCACCAACTCCATCTTCATCTGGGTCAACTCTGTCCCTGCACATCAACTCGGTCCCAAACCCAAGGAACCAAACAGTAAAGCACAACTTACAAAAGAAGAGACCGAGACCCCCGAAGACAACAAGAACAAGTACAAGAGATGGTTGTGATAAACACCCAGTTTACAGAGGAGTTCGTATGCGAAGTTGGGGGAAATGGGTGTCCGAAATTCGCGAGCCTGGCAAGAAATCACGTATATGGCTTGGAACTTTCGCCACTCCTGAAATGGGCGCCAGAGCCCACGACGTGGCGGAGCTGAGCATTAAAGGTAACTCAGCGGTTCTCAATTTCCCTGAACTCAGTGAGTCCTTGCCTCGTCCGTCTTCACGTTCTCCGCGCGACATCCAAGCTGCGGCGGCGAAAGCAGCTGCAATGGAGGAGCTAAGTTCACTGACTTCGTCGTCATCGGATGTGTCAACAACTTCGTCTGATGAGCTGGGCGAGATAATAGAGTTGCCGAGTTTAGAAGGGAGCTATGACCCTCCCGAGTTACGTACCGAGTTGACACTGGTGGACTCGGTTGATGGGTGCCTGTACTCGCCGTGGTGGGTGTCGGAAATTGACTTTTACGGGTGCTTTTCTGATCAGATTCCGGTGGAAAGTTTGATGATTCCGAGCAACTTTGAGACACAAACATGGGATTCATTCATATAATTAACTGGTGTGGTTTTATGCCTTTATTGTAAGTTATAGCAAATGATCATCTCTATATATGTTTGCTGTACATACTCTTGTTCTTGTTCTTCTGAGTCAGAATACTGTCATATGTGAAAATATTAAATACAATTAAATACAGATTGGTTGGTAATGTTTTTTTTTTTTCCCTTTTACACATTGAGTTTGTACATAGAGTGCTTGGAGTACTTGTTTAATTTAATTTAATTTATGAAGAATAATTTTTAGAATATTTAGTCCTTTAATATTTTAATAACTAAGGTATTAGGTTGTTTTTGACCTCTTACTGATTGTCTGTTAACTTCCAATAATTTTTAATAGATACCTCTCGCCTCCCAAGAAAATATTTAATATAACGATTACACTACATCATTACTGTCACGTAATATAATCGATCAATTATGAATTATATAAAATTAGTAAATCTTACCCAATTGTATAGTCACCAATAACTTTTACATTCAAAACTATCATGTAAGATTAGTAGGGTTCACTTGTCATATTTATTTATTATTAATTAATTATACTATGTAACGATAGTGATGTAGTATAACCTTTATATTAATTAATCATTACTGCTAGTTTTTCCATTATCTTTGTTTTTTGCCGTTCTTTTTTCTAAGATAGGACCAAACCCACCCCCTCCCCCCCCCCCCCC